AACCATTTCCTTTTGGTACAATGACTCTGTGTATTCCTTCCATCTTTTCTTGATGCATTCTGCCTCATTCAATATTTGCCCAAAGACTCAATAACAAAAGTCGAGGCTTGAATTTTTTCTACAGTTCCCCCAGCTTGAGAAATGCAGAGAGTGTGTTCTTCCTTTTGGTTTTCTAACTCCAGGTCTTTGTACATTTTATTATAATACTTTGTCTTCTCAAGTTGCCCTTTAAAAGTTTCTGTTCTGCTCTTTTACTTCATCTTTTCTTTCATTCCCTTTAATATTTCTGTGCTCAGAAATATGTGAGAGTCTCCTCTCATATCTACTGTGCTCATTTCTGTCCTGTACTTATTTTTGTAATATTCTGGCTATCACCCCACAACTCCTCTAGCTTTCGGTCGTTACTGTTCACTGTATCAAATCTGTTCTTGAGATGGACTCTCAATTCAGGTGGGATAAACTCAGGGTCGTATTTTTTCTTCAGCTTCAACCCAAGCTTGCGTATGAGCAATTAATGGTCTGTTCCAGTCTGACCCTGGCTTTGTTTTAGTGGATGATATTAAGCGTCTCCATCGTCTTTTCTCACAAATGTGGTCGATTTGATTTCTGTGTATTCCTGTCTAATGAGGTCCATGTGTATAGTCACAGTTGGTTACTGAAAAAAAGATATTTGTAATGATTTAAGTTGTTGGACTTGCAAAATTCTGTTATGGGCTCTCCAGCATCATTCCTATCACCAAGGCGATATTTTCCAACTATCCTTCTTCATTTATAACCTTGGCATTCCAATCACCAGTAATTAATACATCTTGATTACATACTTGATCAATTTAAGAGTTGGCAGAATTCTTCAGCTTCATTCATCATCACTGATGTTAGCCGTTGAATAAATTTAAGTAATAGTGGTATTAACTGGGCTTCCTTTTAAGTGTATGGATATTATCCTATCACAGACAGTGTTGTACTGCAAGATCTTGAATGTTTAGATTTTTATTATGATGAATGTGATGTTCCATTCCTCTTCAATTTGTCGTTGCCAGCACAGTAAATCGTATGATTGTCTGATTCAAAATGCTCAATACCAGTCCATTTCATCTCACTAATGCCTAACATATCAATCTTTATGTGTTCCATTTCATGTTTTATGACTTCTAATTTTCCTAGATTCATACTTCTCATATGCTTCATACTTTGCTTCATCCATATCATTATGGTCAACTCTACTTTGAGAGGAAAACTCTTCCTGAGTCTTATTTTAAGTGCCTTCCAATATGATGGGCTCTTCTTCCAGCACTATGCTGACAGTGTTCTGCTGCTATAGTCATGCGGTTTTCAGTGATGACTCCCTCAGAAGTGGATTGCCTACTCCTTCTTTCTAGTCTGTCTTGGGAGTCCTGGTGTGGCGCTGCAGGATAATGCACTGGACTGCAAGGTCGGTTGGAATTACATGGTGGGTGGTTCAAACTTACCAGCCACTCCTTGGAAACCCTATGCAGGGCCGCAGTGAGTTGGAACTGACCCAGTGTCACTTAACAACAACAGTCTGTCTGAGTCTTGGAAGCTCTGCTGATAACTGCCCACCATGGATGATCCTTCTGACAGTTGAAACACCGATGGTGTAGCTTCCAGCATCACCACAGCACACAAACCACCCCAATACGACAGACTGACAGACAGTGAATAATGATCGTCAGTAACTTTTATCGAGTGCTCACTGATGGGCATGCCATGTGCTAAGCCCTTTGAAGTCTTTATCTTGGTTTTTTCCTGAAGTCGAGACGATGCGTGGTTAGGATCCCACTCCCTTGTGGTAAGGAGAAGATTGCAAGACCGAGACTACGCAGAACACCCACCCTCTGGTATCAACTAGGGTTTCTGAGTTCAAATCCAAGACCATGACTTTTCTGATTCCTACAGCTAATTGTGGCTTCCTTTCCGTGTTTTCCCCCAACCAAGTGACCCACCTGTCTGTTGCTTGGCTTCTCGCTTCTCTCTGAAGTAATCAGTGCGGTTAGAGACCCTCTCAGTCAGCACTAAGGGAAGAGAACTCCTCCTCGGCCTTAGCTGGGACCATGTCCTTTCAGTCTTGCTCTACTGTCTCTGTAAGGCAAGTCTTTCTGCCTGTCTTATGGGGGCTGTCTTTGTCCCCATCATTTATGAAGGAGAGTTCTGTGGACTCTTAACATTCTTGGTTGACAAATGGTTTTCCTTCAGCTCTCTAAATGTGCTGGTCTTTCACCTGCTGCCTTGAAGGCAGTGTCTCGGCCTGTCATTAAGCCTCAGATGAAGCCCATATTGTCTTTATCTTACTTAGGGTTTGTTGGACTTCATGGATAAATGTTTTTGTCACCAAATTTAGGGAGTTTGGGGCCACTATTTCTTCAACCAATCAAGATGGTGGATCGGGGGTGGACATGCAGTGAGGAGCTCCATCAATAACAACATGGAATACCAGGCCAGGCAGACTCAGGGGATGGTACTGGAACTCTGAAACACATATAAAGAAACATTTGGAGAATTGGAGAGCTTACAGCTAGGGGAATGTGAAGGAGAATCAAGAAATCCATTGTTTTCTAATTAAAGACACTCAGCTATTCCCAGAGCCACCATCTTGGGAGAGAACATCTTGATTGTATCAGGATTGATATCCAAATTTAAAGTGACAGTTTCGACATAAAGCCAAGTGGCCACAACTCGTCTGTCTGTCATGCTATGGTGGCTTGAGTTGCTGTGATTCCGAGGGCTATGCCACTGGTGTTTTAAATAACCAGCAGGGTCACCCATGGTGGACAGGTTTCAGATGAGCTTCCAGACAAAGACAGACTAGGAAGAAAGTGACGAACTACTTCCGAATCGTTAAGTCACTGAAAACCTTATGAATAATACCAGAGAAACACTGTCAGATACCGGGCAGGAAAATGAACCTCTCATGTTGGAAGGCACTCAA